GGAAGGAAGGAAGGAAGGAAGGAAGGAAGGAAGGAAGGAAGGAAGGAAGGAAGGAAGGAAGGAAGGAAGGAAGGAGTCTCAGGCACAAGAAACAAACATCCCTAAACAACTATCTATGAACTAAATTACAGCCTATCTATTCCATTTTTATTTATTACTTACATCAGTGCTGCTCTGGCCAAGTCATGTGACATTAAATCTGTATACCTGAAGATTAGAAGAGAAAGAAAAAAGCATCTTCTTGTTAATTCCTGAAGAATATATTTTGTTTTACTAAAAGCTGAAGAGAAATTACAGTAACCTTAAATTTGGCTGTTTCTGTGTCAATGTTATTTACTCCTCTTCCTCCCAAAAGTGCCCAATAGATTTTCCTAGGTTTTATAAGTTGTTATACAAAGGAAAGATTTAATACTCACGAGGTCCCAGACTGCAAAAATGGAATGCGAACACCATCCACCAGTACAATATTCTTCACCCCATTTTTAGCTAGAGTTTTCTTACTTTTGGGTTGAGCTGCAAAAATAATAAATTATTACTAAAAAGTCTATGTAGAAACTAGAGCAAGAATTATCATAAAATCATTGAAAACAAAAACATTTGTTCATTTGTTACTGTTGTTTAGAAAAGGGATTAAAATGGTTTTCAAACATTATGAAATGATTTTCATAAGATCAGTAGGGTTTATTTCCAAGTTTGTCTAAAACCCCCCAAAGCTCACAATTTATTCCTTCTATTTAATAATGTTAAGATATCTATTGTTTGTTTTTCCCATCTGCAGTTTTCAGTCAAACATGGATAGGCATAAAATCTGGAAATACAGAGCTTCAACAGACTTTTAAAAATATATTTATGTGTGTGCAACACACAAACACATTGTAATAATATTCATACCACCTAAATATGTTTCCAATAGAGTATAGTACTTTTAGAACAAGTTTTGAATTTAATTCACGTGCTCTCAGATCTACTATTTTATATCCTAATTTATGAGACAGTATATCAAGCACAGTAGTGATGTGCAATCAGATTATTCATATAGTATGTTTTTCTGTACCTGTTGCAAATAACTGGGATGAACAGCTGAGAGACCTCAAAGCTGAAATGTAAGAAAATCAGAATATAACAATACAGGTAGAACAGACAATATCTTCATCCAAATATCAAAACAAAGCAGCTTTCCCATAACCCTATCATGAGCCAAGAGGATCAGAGAGAATGTAACATTTAGAAACAACAAAAGTAGAAAATGAATAATATAACAGGACTTGGATTATGATGCATTAATATGATTGTTGCCACATCAGAAAAAAGTGCAATGCAGAAACTCAAAAAAAGACAATGAAGAACTATTTTTAATTATAAATGAACAAAACCTCTATAACATAATGCCAGTATAACAGTCCAGTAACTAATCTTGTATTGGTATTTTGGTTATCTAAAGGAGTAGAACTTACAGAATCTGGTTGTCCATGGAATGATGGTAGGGAGGATTTTCATGCCACAAGTCAACAAGGATGTCATTTTGAAAACTGAAACAGGAAGGAGAGATTAGGGTTATCTATCTTAGCTAGCTTGTTAACAATAGATATTGTGGGCATACTGACCAGTTCACATGTTCAAAGTAGCCAAATTCATGTCTCCCCATCTTGTTTCCAAAAAACACTGGGAAATTTTCAAGCAGCAAAGCATAACAGCAACCATAATTTTATTTTATTAATAACAGATAGTACAAAGTAGATGAAATTATTTATTTAATCCCCAAACTTCGTTAACTTTGTTTTTGTAGCAGTGCTGCTGAAAGGATGAAGCAATGTAATAGTTAGACCAAAGAATTTGCAAGCTAGTAAATATAATTCTTGCTTTAATGCTTCCATCAAGGTTGCTTTGCTCATGCAAATAGACTTTGAAAAGAACTTCCTTTCAAATGCTTTGTATTACCTTATCACCTATCTTCTCTTACATTACACAAGGTATATAAGTCCAGCTAATTTTATTAAATGTTGGTATAATATTATAGTTCTGGAGATGAGCTCCAAAAAGGAGGATCTACATAGTGCAGTAATTAAGATACTGAACTAGGACTGGGGAGAATCAGGTTTAAATTCACATTTAGCTATCTATGTAATTTCATTGAGTGGCTTTGCACTTAGAGGTAATGACTGATCCCATCTGCCTTATGAAACAAAATTGGAAAAAAGTCTTGAAGGACTGTTATGTACAAATACTTGAACTCCTGGAGGAATGCAGGATATATATTTTAAAAATCAATCACATAACATCAAAAGGCTACCACTGAGTCTCACCTCTGCCATGAACTCCAACTATGACAATAGGGAAAATCAAAAAGCTCTCCTGGTATTTTAATTACCTTTATTGTTATTACAGTTTAAGAAATAATACACAAATACAAAAAAAGCCCAACTACAAAAAAGTACAAAACCAAAGTATAAACAAAAGTAAAAAAGAAAGGAACACAGTGATAAACAGTTAAGAAGCAAAACAAGATAATTATAAATAATCTAAGCATTTTGTTTATATATCAAACATTCAACAACATATGAAGATTTCAAATTTAAAAAAGAATAAAACTTCCTTGTAAAAGTTCATGATATTTGCCTATTTTAGAAAGGTGTAAATATGATACCATAACAGTGTTTCCTAAGCACAATGACCAATTTAAATTATCTAAATAAGTATTAACCATTCATACTGCTGTTATGCTTAAGCAGCATTGGGACATTTCCTCCTCAGATTCTTCATTATCAAACTTTACATGGTAAATACTTTGGAGTATTTGGAGACAAGCTAGTTTTGCTCATGCCGACTACCCTTCTCCAACTTGAAGCTCTCTCTACATCTCTCGTTAATCCCGCTACATGCAAAAAAATAAGAACTGTAATTCAACACAGCAATATTAAGAAAAAAACTGGATAGATCGGTGATAATTTAATTGGGCATAACGATACATCACACTTAGCGTCTCCGCCAACTGCTCCTATCGTCTCATTTCCCTCCACGGGACACCCACGCAGGAAAGCAAATCCCCCTACTTACCCTCCCTCCAGCCCGCCTGGGAATTAGAATCCCCACCTTGTCGGAGCGCGAAAAAGAGTCCCGACTCGCTCACCGTCCACAACAGCCACCTCCTCAGGCTGGAAACAACCAGCCCGGCCCCCTTACCACTTCAAGAACGCCACTACCAAGGAGGCCCTCCCAATATTAACCGGCGTTCGCCGTAGTCGCCTAAACCCTGATTCAACGTTCCTCTTTCCACATAACAAACAGTGAGGAAGAGCCTTAAAAAACGGGACATGTGAGAGAGATGTGCCTTTCGGAAGAGCCGTGGAGACATCTGCTGCGCCAAAGCAAGGAGCGCTGTGGTTTGTCAACAGGCAGATCAGCGGACGGCTCTCTTACGATATGAAAGCGACGGAGGAGAAGGGAAAGCCCCCTTTGGCTTTTCCACGCCCTTATCGCTTTCCTTCGACTCTTTCAATCCTCGCTTGCTCGACCGACCTCCCCGCTGGACTAAGATGGCGGCTGCTGTCAGGGCTATCGGGAGCTTGACGCGCTTCACGGCCGCTGCCAAGTATTGCCCGACCCGGAGCAGTCTCTTAGGTGAGAAAGGTTGGAAGGGAAGCTTGCAGGTAGTTGGTTGATTGAGTGGCAACAGGAGGAAGCGCACCGCTCCTCATTTTTTTAGGGTAAGGGAGGGAGGGGGCGTTTCTAGGTTTACTGGAGCGGTTCTTCATGGTCTAAGCTAGGATCTGATTATTCTCTTCCTTATATTCTTACTTCTCTCCATTTAACGGGAGATGGTCAGAGAGACCATTTAGGCCACTGCACTCCAGTGTGCCTTTACATCTCTATCTAGATGCTTCTGAGACGCCCGCAGGTAGGACATGAGTGTAACAGCATCTCTAATCGCCTTCCCTCGCCCCCAATGAATGTATCAAGTTCTCCTTTGTAGCTCTATGGACTCTTATGTAATTATGGGGCAATTGTATATAGGGAGAGCCCTGATAGCCCGAAGATAACCCATTTCAGAGTGATGGCTTTGTTTGCTATTTAAATGTATACTCACTGATGTGCTGTTCACTATGGTTAACAATAACGTAAATGACAGTCATCAAATACAGAACAGTAAAAGCATAAACGATACAGTAGATAAATAAATTCACTTCCATGGCTGAGAGTGAACCTGAAACTAGGTCTCCCTGTTCTGAGTCTAGAATCTTAACCTCCGTGATAGTGGAGAATATATGTAGCTCAGGGTTGAATTTTTGGGGTCTTAATGTTCTCTGAACTTATTTTTCTTCTTGCTCATGTTTCATTACCAGGCTAAGTAACATAATCAGTGCATGGGGGTGTGAAGTTTGTTGGCTGCTTGTAGCTTGTCCTATCAGTATTGGGTTTTATTTTCCTTGATTCTGTTTTATCTGGCACTGGTTCCTGCTTAGCTGGATGTTATACCTAATAGGTATATGATGAGGAGGATTTGCTTAGGACTACTGTATTTGCCTTTTTCCTTGACCTTTGGCTCCTTCCTCACAATTATTATGTGGGTGCAACAGACATCTAA